TCTCTTTGCAATTGATTATGTGTGATAAACGATTACGTTCTCCCACTGGTCACATACTCAACAATAACTTTAAGGTGATTACTTTATATGGGCATGTTCTGAAACTGTCAATATCCTACTCAAATAGAAATCAAAATACTTGAATCATGGTGGTCCTGTTTTAATAATCGAACATTTCCTTCCATGTATTACTAGTAGATTCATTTCCAAAAGAGTACTTTACTTTATGAATGAATTTCCTACAGGTCATTTCTCTTTATATGATCTCTAACAACTAAATAATTCATGTCGATATATTTGCTTTGTATTCCACCTTTTTCATTTTTGAAAAGAAAATTACAGTCGAATTATCGCAATAAATCTTCAAAGGCTTCTCATTAAAATCGACAATTTTTAAGCATTTGACAAAATCTCTCAACCATAATGTGTGTATTGAAAATTCATAACAATAAATTAATTCTAACTCCATGATAGACGATTCAATTATAGTCTACTTACTGCTTCTCCAAGATACATCCCCTCGAATTTGAAGAAAAATGTGACATGAAGTAGACTTCCTTGTGTCTACACATCCAACAAAATCTAAATCTGTATATCCAACAATTTCAAAAATGTCGAAATCCTTGTATGTGAGTCTGTAGTTTTTGGTTCCTGGAAAATATCTCATCACTTTCTTGGCAGCTCTCCAATGTTCTATACCCGAATTACTTTGATGTTTGCTTAGCACACCAATTGCAAATGCAATCTTGAGTCTAGTACAGACTTGTGCATACATCAAGCTGCCAACAACGGAAGCATAGGGTAGGGAAGCCATGTGTTCTCTTTCCAATTCACTTAATGGACAATTTTTCTGATTTAATTTATCACCTATAACAATTGGTGCTACACTTGATGCACAATCTTTCATCCTAAATGTTTTCAAAATCTTTTTCAAATAGCCTTTTGAGATAATCATAATGACCTTTTAGACATGTCTTTATGAATCTCTATGCCAATTACATAAGAGGTTTCACCAATATCCTTCATTTCAAGGTTTCAGTTTAAAATTGTTTTGTGTTATGTATCAAATCCACATTATTGCTTGCAAGTAAAATGTCATCTGGATATAAGACTAGAAAAATGTATTTGCTCCCACTTACTTTAAGATATATGCACAGTTCAATAATATTTTCTGTAAAACTGTGTGAAATAACAATATTGTGAAACTTCAAATATGATTGACGAAAAACCTATTTTAGCTCATATATAGGGATGGCAAAAAAAACTCACCAACTCCAACTCGACCCGGAAAAGCCCGAGCTGGGCCGGCTCGTGGCTCGATGAAAGGCTTTGGTTGAGCCCCATTTTGGGGCATCGACTTGAGCCCGACCCACGTTTTAGGAAAAAAAATTAATTTAGCTATTGCAACGCAGGTGTGACGCTACCTGCAAACACGAAAAAAAATGAAAAAAAATAAAAAAATCGAGTCGGCTCGGGTCGTAAAGTCCTGAGCCTAAAATTTTTGACCGAAAAAAAATGAAAAAAAATAAAAAAATCGAGTCGACTCGGGTCGTAAAGGCCTGAGCCTAAAATTTTTGACCGAGCTTTTGCTTGATTCGGCTCGAGCTTAAAAAAGTTCGGACCTATTTTGCTCGAGCAGAGCGAGCTTTGAGTTTTAGCTCGTGACTCAACTCGGCTCGACTCGTTGAGGATCAGTAGTAAATCCTTCAAGTTTTTTCATATAAACTTCTTCTTCAAGATCTACATTCAAGAATGCTGTTTTCACGTCCATTTGATGTGGCTCCTGATCAAAATGAGTTACTAAAATCATTATAATTCTAAACGAATCTTTCTTAGAAACCGAAGAAAATGTTTCATGATATATACCTTCCTTCTGAGTAAAACCATTGGTTTCAAGTCTAGTTTTATATTGTTCTATATTGCCATATGCATTTTTTATTTTTATTTTTTGTAAACCCATTTACAACTAATGGTTGTATACCTAGCTGACAATTCAACGAGGTCCCAAACTTGATTTTTAGCCATAGATTCCATCTTTTCCTTCATGGCATCATACCAAAAGTTTGATCTTCTTCCTTCAATGGCATGTGAAAATGAGCTATGATCATTGTCAAGTCCAATATATGTATTGGAGTTTAGAGGATATACAACATAATTGCTAGAAATTGTTAGTTTTCTTATTCTTGAGGATCTTTTTATACCTACTACATTATTTTATTATGTGTATTTTGAGTGGTAACAGGCTCCGTGCTGAGTGACGATTCTCAGTCTAGGTTTCCTAGTACAATAACAGTTGTTTATGAGTTGGTTCAACTTCAGTTGTACTTGAGTTCTTTTTTTTTCGAAAGGAATCAATATACCTTGATTGGAAGATGACCTAAATAATTCGTTAATTTCCTGAGAATTAATATTTTTAAGAAATTCACTAACACTCACTTTATGATCCTTTAGAATTTTCTCATTTCTATCTTGGACAATTCTTGAAGTGTGCGAAGGACAATGGAATCTTTAACCTTTGAAGTTCACCGAATAGCCTATGAAATATCCACTAACTATCCTCCGGTCTAATTTTTTTTATAAGAGGATTACAAACCCCCACTTCAATTGGACAACCCTATATGTATATATATGTGTCAAACTAGGTCTCCATTCGTTCTAAATTTCAAATGGCGTTTTAGGAAGTGCCTTAAATGGAACCCTATTTAAGATATCTACAGCAATTTTTATAGTTTCGCTCCATAAATGTAATGAGAGACTTGAATTGCTTATCATACTCCTAATCATGTCCATTAAGGTTAAGTTTCTTCTTTCAATTACACTATTTTGGTACAATGTTTCATGTAGTATATTGCGCTACAATGCCTTGTTATGCTAAAAATATAGCAAATGGACTTGGCATTTGTCCATTTTCTGTGTACCGTCCATAATATTCTCTATCCCAATTTGACCTTGTAATTTTTATTTTTTTTCCTTTTGTTTTTCAACTTCTACTCTATAAATCTTGAAAATATTTATGTCCCATCCTTATGATTTAAAAGATAGAGATACATATGTATCTTAAGTGATCATCTATAAATGAGATAAAATAACTCTGACCATTTAGACATGGACTAAAAAAATGTCGACAAATATCTGTGTTAAATAATCTTAAGAATGTCTAAACTCTTTTTGACACCTTTAGTAATCTTATATCTACTTTCCCTTTATGTAGTAGTAGATGTCCTAAAATCAGTGAAGTCAAGAGTTTGTAAAACTCCATCATTTACTAATCTTTTGACTCTCTATGGAGATATACCCCAATGTCCTATGCCATAATTAAGATGAATTCTCTTTAACCATACAACGCTTACTGCCAATACAAATACTATGCAGGTCGAAAAAATTACATTCATAAGTGGGATCTAAAATAAATTATATAAATTACCAAACAAAATGCCATATCCATTATCCAATAACAATTGAAATCTGAAATAAACTAAAACTTCTGTCTTCAAACAAAAAATTAAAATATAACAGTGCTAGTTTTGAAATAGAAACTAAATTACAAAAAGATGTTAGAACATTAAAAGTGTTTTTAAGATTGAAATGAAAACCGATTGTTAAAACTAATCTAAAGATTTGCACGCCTTGAGCAGTTGATTCCAATCGATTTCCACAATAGATATTTTGTTTAAAGTCAACAATTAATTTTAATCATATATTTTGTGAGACCTCCAACTTTTCAACCACACATTCCATCAACTTTTAACAAAATTCGCTAAAAATCTAATTTTAATTTCCATAAAACAGGGCCTAAGTATCATTCATAAGACCCTCCTAATGAAAGGAAGCAGAGGTGCACACTAAGAATTAGAAAAACATCTAATGCTCTTTATTTATCGATACTTCTTAAATATCGAAATTCTAGCAACACACGACATAATATTATCACAAAGTAAATAATTTTGTGATAAAATTTGGCACCATTTTTAGACCCTGTTTGATTTAGATATAAAACAAGTTTTTATTAGATTATGATAAAAGTTAATAAAATGTGTGGTTGAAAAGTTGTGAATTCCATGAAATATGTAGTTAAAATTAATTATATTGAAGATATCCAAGATCTAAGTTCAGCTAAGGCGGACCTTGATTAATGACCATCGACAATCAATAATCGTAATAGCGAAGTCGTTTATTAATATTTAA